ACACAATGATGAGAAAGTGTGCACAGAAATGCTCCTCCATATAATCAATATAGAAATGCGACTACGTATTTTAAACCTGAACATTTTAATGAAACTCTGACATGAGTTCCTGCATGGATCACACAGATTCTAACAATCCACTCGTGTCTCAGTTCCTGTAATGATCCCTGATGAGAGAAGAATTTGTTTTAATCGTCTGTTTTTGTTCCTAGAGTGGTGTCATTTTAATGATCAGCATGTTTCTTTTGAACACTTGCCAACGTTAACAGACTAATAAACCGTCTTTACAGTGTCATCGTCTATTTATATGTTTGTTTTTGACAGGCTGCCATGAATCTGATTTATTTTACAGCCTGAGATAAAACCCTGAACTCATGTATTTTAAGGAGAAATCAACATTAATCTTTAGTATACTGTGATGCATAGTGCAGCACTCATCATTCTACAGTATATATAGTGGTACATAGTATCCAGCAGCTGGAGGCCAGTTCGTGTTTTGGCCAGAAGATGTCGCTGTGCAACCAGAAACAAAGTGCAGCCGATAACATTTTACATTTTCTACTCACATAAATGTCATATTTAAATCTGGACTGGATGCATCATAACAGTTCATTTACATGGTAGGCAGTGAAAGAATTTCAGCTTCAAAGAAATCTGAAGTAACATCTATTGAACCAAAAGGCTTTCCAGTAAAAAAATAAAATAAAATAAAACCTACCGAACAGGTTTAAATATTAAAGTTTAGCCGCTGCAGTGTCATTTATGATAAAGCTTTACCTTAGCAGTTGAAACATTATTGAATGAAATCCTACAAAAAGTACATAAAACACACATTTACTTCACTGTAATAAACATTAGTGCTGAGACCCAACAGCATCATTAATTATGGAGATCATCTTGACTAATTTAGAACTAAATGCTGCAAAAATACACACGAAAACCCAACAAATCCCAGGATTCCCTTTGAGCAGCATTTGGTTTTATTTCTTTTGTTTGTTTTGTGTGTCATTGTGGTTATTTTGTGTCTTCTTGTGGTTGTCTACAGTCATTTTTTTCTCATTTTGTGTCTCTTTGTAGTTATTTATGGTTGTTTTGTTTGTCTTTGTGGTTGGTTTGTGTCTCTTAACAGTCATTTTGCGTCTCCTTGTGGTTGTTCATAGTAATTTTGTGTCTCTTTGTGGTCATTTGTGGTTGTTTTGTGTGTCTTAGTAGTCATTTTGTTGCTTTCTGTGGTCGTTGATGGTGGTTTTGAGTCTCCTTGTGGTCATTTGGTGCCCATTTATGGTCAACTTGTGTTTCTCTGCAGTCATTTTCTCCCTCTTTGTGGTCATTTATGTTATTTTCTGAGTCTCCTTGTCATCATTTGTGTCTGTTTGTGATCAATTGTGGTTGTTTTGTGTGTCTTTGTGGTCAATTTGCAGCTCCTTGTGGTTGTTTGTAGTCACTTTGTCTCTCTTTGTGGTCATTTTATGTCTCTTTGTGGTTGATTGTGATTGTTTGTGTCTTTGTGGTCATTTGTGGTTTAAAAAAAATGCTGTTGTTTATTAACATTTTGTTTTACTTTATTCAATTACAGGCAAATAAAGTGTTTAAAAAACGAGCACAGACACAGGATGAGTCATTCTGAGGAGGAACAAACTAAAAATGAAGAAACTCAGTTTAGTCTTAACATGAAAATACACAAAACTTTATGTCTGCGGCGACAACAACAGTTTGTCTTTGTGAAACTTTAACATTTCTTGTAGCTGTTGTTGTTGTTTAACACTGACAATAAAGATCTATTCAATGTTGCTCAGATTATTGTTTCTGTAGAAAAACTGATATCACACAAAGTTTTTAAATGTACTAAATATGAATAATTCTCAGCTTTGAATGTGTGGATGTTGCACCAAACTGGGTTTACTCAGGGCTGCTTGTAGAAAGTGCAATCATCCACTGAGTTATAATCCTAAAAATACAAAAATACAAACACAAAAAAACTAAATAAAACAACCAAACCGAATCCAAAAGCTAAACAGACAAATAGGACAAAGTTTAACTCATTAACTTTGACCATATCTGTACATTTCAGATCCTATTGTTTCCCGTCTACATCAAACTTCTACTTTTATTTATCTTTAAAAACTCCAGGAACACATTTACTTTTCCACATTACTATATTTTTCTGCTCCATAAGTTTAACCAAGTTTATTTAAAGTTACCTCTTAAATCATTGTTTGTAATTCTACCTCTGAACAGTTGTTGAGCTATCAGGGAGTGAGTTGTGTCTTGCTCTGAACATTATTTGCGCACTTCTGAATTTAACTAAATCAATAAATGTACTGTTTGCTTTTCACATTAAATCAGAATCAGAAATCAGAACTATTATTATTATAGATCCCTAAGGGCAAATTGCTTTACCTGAAGTCTAAATGAGATAGTAATAAATAATGAATCTGTTTATTTTGAGTCACAGAGTTGTCTGATGAGATCCTTCAGACTCTTATTGTGAAAAGCCGAGTCGCGTGTTTTATTTTGAAGCGCGGCGCCTCCACAGCGCGAGCTAGAGTCTGAGCGGAGGTCGGATCCCGGCAGAGCTGCGGACTCACCGGCAGCAACAACTATGACAGGAGCGAAGTTGTGGAGCTGAGTCAGGCCGGTCGTGTGGACGGATACCGAGCACCGGAGGACGCAGGAGGAGTGTCCGGACTGACGGTGCTTCCTGGACGGATAAAACTCAGGGACTGGGGGGGGGGACCCGCTCGGTTTGTGGATACACGCAGCGGCGGCGGCGGCGGCGGCAGGAGCCCCGGAGCACGGCGAGTGTGTGAGCGGTTCGGCGGCTAACGAAACATGAACAAAAACCACCGAGTGCAGAGCAGCCGATCTCTCAGTGCCGTGGAGGTGAAGAGCAAGGTGCGGAGCGACTCCCCGGCCGGTGTGTCCGGCTAGCGGCGCTAACTGTCGCTTATTATCTTTGCTAATTTAGCTGCTAAGTGGCTCCGCGAGTGATGTCGCACCGAAACCCCGACGCGGGCTGAAGGCTTTGACAGTTCGCTCCGTGTTTGTGTGGCTGTTGTTAGCGCGTCATTAGCTGGTTAGCGGCTCTCTCCGTCCACAACTTGGATGTGGCGTAGTTAGCCGCGGAAGTTTGACGGCTAGCAGCCGAGTTTGAAGGCGGAGGTTGTTGTCAGCTGACGCCGCAGTGTCACCTGTCAGCCTCCCGCCGCTCGTTCACCGGACACCGGACGCAACTTTGAGTTGCCTCAGCGCGTCCCACCAGGAATATTACACAAGTTACCGAGCGTTTGTGAGAAATAAAGTCGGTTTGGAGTTGGTTTGAACGAGCTGTCCGGTTGTGTGACTGGGTGGACAGGCAGGTGTCATTCGGCCTCTAGCAGCCGGCTCCTTCCGCCACCAGGTGTGGTGCCAAAACAGTGACCCGCTGCCAACATGTTCATTTAAGGTCCTTCTCTCTCTCTCTCTTTTTTATTAATTTTTTGGATCATAGGGATTTTACTCATCTTTAAATATTATTTAAATAACTTTACTGGACTGAGGAAATCAAAAGAGGTGGTTTTGAGGTAAGATGATGTCATAGTCTGACAGAATTTCGTGGTTTAAAAAAATAAGAATAAAAAGAATATAAATATACAAACTTTACTGTTTACATGAGAGTCATGTGAAAGAAACAAACTTTCTCTGTAATATGTTAAAATGCCAGAGTAGGACTTTTGAGAGAGAATATAAATGATAAAAAAAAAATCTAAAAGGTTAACTAGCTGACTTTAGGTTAAGCTAATAATGTTATTGTTTGTTAGCATTAGCTAGCTAGCTTGAATTCGTTGCCGCTGTCCTCCCCACAGTACAAACTTTTCTTTACTGTTAACAAAAAAATAAAAAAATAAAAACTTTTTCCGTAATATGTAAAAATGTCAGACTAGGACTTCTGAGAGAAAACAGAAATGATTATTACAAAAATCTTTCTAACAGGCTAACTATCTCACTTTAAGTTAGGCTAATTATGTTATGCTTTGTTAGCATTAGCGAGTTAGCTTGAATTCGTTGCTGCTGTCGGCTAAACATCCCTGCAGTGCAAACTTTTCTTTACTGTTAACATCATGTGGAGATTTTCCATTAGTTTGAACATAAAATAGCACAAAAAAATATTTTGTAATAATGTCAGAATAGGACTTTTGCAGTAAGACACCTCAACTGACATCTATGATTTTCAAAACTATAGCCTTGCTAATGTTAGTTTTCTGATAAACTATGTTCATGTTATCTAATACAGTAACACAAAAGCTAACCAGCTGTAAAAATGTATCACTATCTGTCTAAAAGATTGACGAGCAGACTTTCGGTAAAGCTAACAATATTATGCTTTGTTAGCATTAGCTAACTAGCTTGAATTCCTTGCTAGTGTCTGCTAAACATCCTTGCAGTTAACAGGAAATGTGAGTTTTTTTTCAGAACTGGCATTTAGGAGTATGCTAGAGCTTTAAAGATTATTAATCAATTGTCAACTATTAAATTAATTGCCCATGAATCTGATAATAAATCAGTTTAAGTAATTTTTAAGAGAAAAAGTCTAAATTTTCTGTTTTCTGTACTAATCTATGAGAGTAAACTGAATCTCTTTGGGTTGTAGACAAAACAAGACATTTGTCATCTTAGGCTTTGATTGACATATTTCACCATTTTCTGATATTTAAAAAAAAAACAAACAAAGAATTTATCTATTTATTACTCCAGAAAACACAGCCCTAGATTATAGGCGGTATTCTAGTTTTGTTTCTGATGTTTAGACTGTACGCGTGTCAGCGTAGTCACTTTTTGGCAGGTGGAAAACTGCTTTGTATGAGTTGCACTGGTCCTTTAAAGCTGTCTCAACTGGTGAAAAGACCTGGATAAGTTGTTATTAGGGGCACAGAGCAGGTACAGCAATGCAGAGGCATAACAATAATAGCGGATGTTATTTGGTTTTTGGCAGACAAACACTTTTTGGCACAACACCGTCAGCCCGCGGGATCATTTCACACTTGTGTCGAAGAATGGGCCCTCAGGGCTCTTGTAGCTGCTCCAAACTAGTTTTAGAACTGTGTGTTGACACAAACCGTGACCAAATATTGGTGTCATTACACCGTTGGTTCACAGCTGTAGCAGATAAGTTGGACTTTGCAAGCTGCAAACACAAAGTTATTTTATTCTTTGGTCCAGACTCAGTACACGAGGGTCGTTTAACCTTATTTGCCTTCTCATGTGAGGACATCTTCCATCCTTTTGCTCCCAGCTGATAATTAATGTCATTCTGCGTTGCACTGAGGCAGAAGATAACAAGTGTCCAGGTTGGCACTGGACTGTAGATCATCTTTTGTCAGTGCTGTGCAACAGTAACCACTTCACAACCAGCAACAACTTCTCATCAACACCACCGACGGGGACATTGTGCTCTGTCTCGGCTTCACAGTTGCCTAAAGATTAGGCATCTGCAGCCATTGATCCAGTCAGACCACACTCACACACTGCAGCGTGTTTGGTGGGAATGTGTGTATGCTGAAAACACGCGGTCTTTTCTCATAGCGGCGTTCCAAACATCCTGTAGGGCAGATGGATTAAATGGGGCTTTTACAGTCGTGATTGAACTGCATCAAAAGGAAAAAACATGGGAAGACACACATCACAAAGCCACGTTAATAATTCATCCCATGTGGTGTGTTAGCTTGTCTACATGGATAACAGACTCTTACATACAGGCTGCGGTGCTTTTGGAATTTAGACTACCAGCTCCAGACCTGAGGCCCTTTTCTCAGCTCCCTCATGCTTTCACCTTCATATTCATGTAGTTTTTTTGTCTGTACGATTGCGCTCACATGTGACTTCCTGTCTGCTCCGTCCCAGTTTGGTGCAGAGTTCCGTCGGTTCTCGCTGGATCGGTCGAAGCCGGGCCGCTTCGATGAGTTCTACGGCCTCCTGCAGCACGTGCATCGCATCCCCAACGTGGAGTTGCTGGTGGGCTACGCCGACGTGCACGGCGACCTGCTGCCCATCAACAATGACGACAACTACCACAAGGCCATCTCCACCGCCAGCCCCCTGCTCAGGCTGTTCCTGCAGAGGAAAGGTACACAAGCGTCTGAGCAAAGACTTCTTCTTTCTGCCTGTTTGTTAGATCTGCTTTCCAGTGCAAATGCAAACAAAGGTCCGGTGTTTGCTCTGAGTGGCGTCGACTGTCTTTGTAACTTGTCTGGATGATCAAAAACAAGGTTATGATGATATCTTTTCAGTTCATAGGCTGCGTGTTGCATTTGTGTTTTGCCCACACTGTCCTCCAGCTTTGTCCTCGGTGTGCCAGTTCTGCCCCGCATAGCTAAAGGTTAGCAACCTGGCTGAGCAGCAGAGTGTGCTTAACAAGAACATTTCACTGGACTAGATGAATGTTTGCTTTTTTTAAATTTAATTTTCTATTTTTAAAGTCTTTCAGAGCAGCGTTTATCAAGCTGCCCGGGGGAGCTCGTCCAATTAGGATGTCCTTTACTGTAGCAAGGCAGTCGCAGGGGAGGAGTGTTTTTACTGCGTGACTGCTAACGAAATAAGGGTTTCACGTTCAACACTGTATGTATACAGCACTCCTGTTGTTTCGTACTTCCTCACTGGCTGTGGTGTAATCATTACCGACAGTTATTGTACTAAAAGTCCTGCATTTGCTGTACACGGTATCAAAGATAGTTTGGTTATCTTTTCAGGAAACGAGAGATGTTTTGGCTTCTGTTATCCGTTAGTCATAGAGGCGCATGTAAGAGCCAGTTTCTGTCAGACCACACGCGTAAACATCGAGCTTTTTCTTGGATGTTGTGTGTGTGTGTGTGTTCTGACTAGAAGCTAAGTGTGACCTGTTGAATGGGGGAAGGACCCCGAGCTCTGCTGGCCCGGGGCAGCCCCAGCCGCGTGCTCTGTTGTGTTTAAGCTGTCTCGCTGTGCCATATGACCCTATAGAAGCTAAGCCACTTTGTCAGGAGGAGATTAGTGGGGTCACTGTGTAGCGCTGCATGGGACCGTGTTTCAATTACACGCTCCAGACACTAGCCCCACGCTGGGCTCACTGCTGCTCATCCACACACACGGAAAGAAAAAAAAACACCAGGAAAAAACACAGTCGGTACAGGCAGGCAGGCATCACACATCAGTCATCCACACACTCACAGCTTTGTAGACAAGCTAGAATGAAAACAGAAGACACAAACGCAGCCACAACCCCCTGCAGACGCCGCCGCCCGCCCTCAGACCCTGGTTTCCCTCCCTTCACCTTACCGTTAAGCACCAGTTGGTCCCAGCTTAAAAGGCTCCGCAGTGTGCAGATGCAGCAAATTGGCAGCTTGTGGAGTAATTTATTATACATCTGCAGACATCAGTTATTATCTCTAGTGATGGCTCTATAGCGAGTTAATGGCTCCTCAGTGTTGGAGCCAGCTTGGAACCTTTTTAACGTTGTTTGTTTATCTGGAAAGCTCCTCACGTGTGGAAACATGACGCCAGATCGACTGCGGATGAGAAATGTGGTTGTTTTTGGCGGAAACGTTTCACTCATTCACGATTAACAGTATCTGCATGCCTGACTCCGAACCGAAATGAGATTTATTTAGGCGAGCAATGAGGCGAGCTGACTCCTGAAGACTTTGATGTTATCAGCAGCACCAGAGGGAGGTCATAGTGGAGGGTCACTGGGTCACGGTGGGAAGGTAGCACTGGTGCAACCCCGTCACCGTTTTCATCTCTTTATCGCTCTGGAGTCTCAGTCCTACAGTCACAAGCTGGATTCTAATGCCGTTATTCTACTACTACTGTGTCCTTGGAGACTGTAACGGGGTAATTACATAAATGTCTTAGACGGTCATTAGTCAGATGTGATGAGTTTGGTCGTTATTGCATAAGAGCAGGACTTCAGACAAAGCAGCAGTGTGGAACAAAGTTTGTTCCAACTCCATGAAAAAAAAGGCAGTGAAATCTGAACACAAAGATATCGAATAAAAACGGCTCATAAGCACCAGTTTCAGTGATTGCAAACAGACTTGTGACAGTTTCAGTTGACATGATTTGTGTGCTTGTTTAAATAAAAAGTCTAGTCTCAGCACAGTTCAGCTCATGCGTGTCATTCGGGTTATTTTTGGCGCCGCATTTTATTTGCAAGACTAAATCCAGGCTACGGATATCCCAGGATAGGTGCTCCGTGGGCTCTTGTTCATTCATCGGTGCGCAGATGGTCGGACGGATACGGGGATGGATGTTGGTGCATGTTGCTGTGTTGCTGCGGTCTGGTGCTCGAATAATGCCCACATTGTTGCTGCTTCTGCGTCGACGCTGACCGGCCATTAATGTCTTATTGTTCACTGTTGGTGTCTGTGTGGGGAATACCGCAATCTGCCAGTCATTTTTAAAATTGCTTCGACACTCAAACCAGTACAGCTCAGCAAGGCTCTGGGTATCCCCGTGCAGCCCACCCCCCATCTGTGAACAATGTGTTGATGACTGTGGAGCTGGCAGTGAGGTGTCCACTGTTTACTGGTTGTCATGGCGCCACTGAAGAGGCCTGTTCAGAGGTGGATTAACAGAGCTGGAGTCTCTTTAAGGCCGATGGGAGCTGCAAAGCATGCTGGGGGCACTGCTGCGAGCGTTTAAAAAACACCTAGGGCTTGCCTAGATATAGGAATGTGAAGGATTGTTTGCAGTTAATAGTTTTACCGTTTAAAAAAAACAAGTAAATAACTGATGAAGGACATAGTGGGGGTTTAGCTCGCAACGGGCCACCGCGACAAAGACTTCTGTGGTGGTTAATGCCTCCTGGCCAGAGCTCCGTCAGTCAAGTAGAGCTAAAGTCTATTAGGACTTTATTATTTATGTTTGAGTGGCCATGTTTGGTAGCAAACATTGTTTTTTGTAGCTTAATCGTGAAGCAGTCACCTTAATGATTTATCGGTTCAAAATTTGCATCTTTAATTATACATATCCAACGTCAAATGTGTTGTAGCTGTTGCTGCTAACTGTTGGCGGCGAATACACGAGCGAATAGCAGCGAAGACGACGGTAGAGAAACTCCATCGCCGCTTGTTGTTAAATATTTTCCCGCTACACACCCTCGAAAACAGCGTAACGGCCCAATTTGCAGCGTAACGGGTCATTACGCTGTTATAACGCTGACGAGAACCCTGTAGCTACTTTAAGAAGTGTACGTGCCAGATAACCACTCTATATCAGAGTAAATAAACGCTAAATCCCAGGTGTAGTTTCTGAGACATGTCCAGGTAAATGTTTGATTGGTTATTTGTATCTGGTTGATACACAATCAGATGTGTTGTAGCTACTTGGTGATGTTTATGGTTTACGAGGAGAAACCTCATAAACCACCTCAATCGGAATAAAGACAAGTTAAATCCCAGCTGTAGTTTCTTAAGCCAGTAGTGAAGCTGTGGGGCAAGTTAATGTTTGATTATGTGGTCACGGTTTTGGATGTTTTGTAGCTACATCCTGAAGCGCACGTGCCAGAGACCACTCGTAAACCATCGCAATCAGACTGAACGAAAGCTAAGTCGCAGGTATAGTTTCTAGATGAGGCGAAACTCTGAGTCATGCCCAAGTTTATGTTTGATTGGTTTCCTAGACGTGTCTAATACATTATCAGATGTAGTCGTGACTACTTTGAGATGGTTATGTGACCCAGAAACCATCTGAATCATAATAAATAAAAGCTAAACACCTGCTGAAGTTTCTCATCAAAGGCGGTAGGGAAACTGTGAGGCATGCCCAAGTTTGTGTTTGATGACTCGTAAACTCGGTTGTCAGGTGAGATTTTTCCTACAACATCATATTTGTCCATATCAGTCATCCAGAACATGGTTAGTATTTGTACACGCTCTGCTTTTATAGTTTCCAGGTTGTCATCCATGCGGTGGGAGCAGCTTGTCGTGCCGTTTCTCTCAGGGCGTGTGTTTGTTTGGTGACGTTGCTCATGCAGTCCTGAACAGCTCATAGCTCTGAGCCACTTAGGTGGACGGGGTAAAGGTATGGAGAGGGACAGGAATGCTTGTGTTTGTATATCCCAACAGGGACTGCCTGAGCAATTAGTAACCAGTGCATGAGTCATCCAGCCAGCCAGAGAGAGAAAAAAAAAAAGAGAATGTACAGTGTGAAAGTACACCTGACAAACGTCTACCCACCCAGTAAAGCAGGCGGTATCTCTGATAAGCAATGCAAAGGAGTGACAAAGACGCCACAGCATGTAGAGACACTGGTAAAGGGGCATTGAGATGAAAGGATTAAAACAAGAGAGCGCTGCTGGCAGGTGTACAGGATGCTGTATTCCCCCACAGAGTACAATGTATGAAAATAATCTGCTTTTGATCTCAAGTTTTCCACGGAGCAAGCATGAATTATTCCCTGGGATGGTGAGTGTAATGAGTGAAGGAACGATGGAGGAGGAACGCTCGGAGGAGGAAGATATCTTAGGCCCTAATAGGCAGGGATGAAAGGGAGAGAGAGTAAACAGTGCTAAAGAGGGGAGTAATGTATAAGGCATTGTTTAGGCATGGCATGTAATTAGAGACGAGAGGGAGTAGTGTAAGTGTGATAGGAATGCAACAAGAGGTAGGGAAGGGAGGAGGATAGTGGGAATAGTATTAGCGAGGGAGGAATGCAGAGTGAGGCCCAAGCTGGGGAGGGTGGGAGGGAGAGAAAGAAATAAAAAGATGGAGGAAGAAGGGAGGAATGGAAGGGGGGCGTTTTGGGTGGAATGTGGCCAGCCTCTGATCACGTCTGCTGGGTAGATTAGACAGGACAGCCGGCCAGACTGGACCCTGAGCTCCAGAGCCGACCGGGGGGTATAGATGGGCAGAGAGAAAGTGGACGAGATCGAGTACAAGACAGCAGAGAGATAGAGGAGGTTTATAAAAAAAAAAAAAAAAGAACAAGAGAGGAGCGAGCCAAAAACCTTCAGCCTTTTTAAAACCTGACTGAATGAGACTTTATGCAAGAAGATGGGATTGGATAGAAGGAGAGTGACGGGAGGGAGTCCAGGCTCTGGGTTAGAGAGTCTGTCAGGGTTCCTCAGCTCAGAGACGGTTGAAGAAGATG